CAGGAAATGCTGGGCAACAGGGAGACTTCCATCAGACGCACAGAGAAGTTACGGCTGGAAAAGATGGAAGCTGGAATCCTGGGAACCGACTTTATTATTAGAACCCTGGAGAGACCGGCGACTTTGGGCAGTGTCGTTCTTCATAGAAACCTCGCCATCATGGATGATGCAAGTGCTGTGTGGGCGGCGCTGGGAGATCGGCCCACAAAGCCGGAGAAGGACTGAGGCTTGTTACTTTAATCTCAGAATAAGCTTGAATCTCTGAGCCTTGTTACCCGCTTTCTACATCCCTGTCCGCAGGACAAGGGTCTGAGTCGAAACTTCTTCGTCAAACAAAAGGTCCTGGGCGAAAAATTCGCTCGAAGATTGAAGAAGCTCCGAAAGCATGACTTGCCAGTTCTGGAGGAACAGCTTAGCAAGGTGGAGGTGGATCCTCCTCGACAGCCTGATGAAGATCGGGAGCCAAAGTACCTCTGGGGCATGTTTCAGGCCAGCCCTTACGCCCTAAAGTTTGCACCAAAACCTTGAACTCATAATCGAATAGGATAGGCACAGCCATCATAACAAGTGTGTCTGACATAGGCATAGCCTTACATTACACTCTAAGCCCTGAACCCAAAGTTTTCACACTCCAAAAACCGTGAACTTTCAATCCTGAGCCATGAGCCCTAAACCCTAACCCTAAACCTTAAACCTCTATATACTTGGAGGCCCATGGGACTTAGTAACTACTTATAAATGACGTATAGCCATACTTATAACCTCCCTCAATGGGCTTACAGTGGCTCACCCAAGTATAAGTAGGGCTATAATCCCAATTATAAGTAGTTACTAACTCTCATGGGCCTCCAAGTAGGCATTCCTCTCGGCGAGCTTCGGTGAGCCTGTTTCAAAAGATTGGCTTCTTGGCCTTGAGTGACTGTGAGTTTACGTCGTAGCGTTTAGGATTTCGGGTTCAGGCTGGAGAATCAAACGGGCAAGAACATGGAAAATGAAATGGAAGCTACTTAGGGCTTAGAGTTCTGGATGTAGCGTCTAAGGCTGGCTGCTGTCAACGAGTTAGATGAAGCAGGTTTGGGTCTAAGGTTAAAGGTCAAACAGGACATGTCATGAAAACTGGAATTACTCAGGGAATATTAGGCCCTGAAGGAATTCAAACTAAGGTACGAGAATGAGGACACTGCATTGGTTGCCAGTTTTCCTTTGGGCTTTTCAGCTCCGTAGCAGCAACAGGGCTAAGTATGTAGGGTTTAGGGTTTATCCTTAGCGTATGTATCATGTTTCTTAGTCAAGGGCCCCACGTTCTGGTGGGACATACCCATTTGTTCAGCCTTGGACTTCGGGCTCCTAAACCCGAAGCCCTAAACCCTAAAACCCTAAGTTTTAAGGGCTTGGGGTTTAGGGTAAGCTACGTCCCAAACCCTAAACTTTAAGCCGTATGAAGCCTAAGCCCCCAACAATGACGGTTTGGGGCTCAGGCTTTCGGGTTTAGGGGTTCAGGGTTTAGGGTTTGAGTTTAGGGACCCAAATGTGGTTTCACACGTGGCTCTACACCGCAGTCAGAACTGTGTAACTGTCCTGAAGCTCCAGGTAACTTGCCCTCCAGCACCTTAAAGTCAAGGATCCGTGTCGGAAAGCCATGGGACTCGGTCCGTATACTTATAAACCTGAACTTGCTTGGCCGATACAAGATTGTTTAGCCTTCTGAGCTTTTTTTGATCCCCATAATAAAGCTTGATCTTTTTAGCCCTGGTTACTGGGGAAAGCCACTCCACAACCCCAGATGTCCCCAAGCTTAACCTGTTTAGTAATTCCCCGTGACCCGCCAAATAAGCCCTAAACCTTAAGACCCGAATTGTAGTTTCCCAAAATAGGGGGCCCCTCATATAGACCCCCAAGCATTCTTATCCTTATTATACGGACCACCAGAAAGGTACCGTGAATTGTGGGAGATCCCCAAAGCTCAACTGCTTATCAGGCCTCAACCCTAAACCCCGGTCATGTTCCATTATCTTTTCCAAAATTAGTAAAACCAAGGAGCCTACATCAAAGGTTCAGGGGCCGGTTCTTTGAAACCGGCTATGATTTTGGATTTCGCTAGAACTCCTAAACCCCCAAACCATGAACCTTTATTCTGCCCCCGCTCCGGTTCCCCCCTCCTACACCACCAAGCCCTAAACCTTTATTCTGCCCCCGCGCAGGTTCCCCCTTGATTCGAGTTATTAGAGGAAAATGAGGGTTAATAATTAATCTTGATGAGATCCGGCAGGAGATGAGGAAGCGAAAAAAGTTCATGAGGTTGGCCCGGCAACCTAAGGAGCCCCTCGAAAGCTTCATCAACAGAGTTTCCATCTACCGCCACGAAAATGATCGCTCCCAAAACCATCGTGTGGGTGTAGGCCACCTGCTTGATGCTGCGAAACTGACGATGAAGGATGAGGACCTCATCAAGACGCTTGCTGGCGGTCTTCACGACGAGCTCACTGTGGTGAACGCGATGTTGAACTCGCAGACCAGCTTGAGGGACCGTCCGGATGTCCCATCGGGAGGGGCTTCGGCAGGTTCCCTTGTAGGTACAAGCTGCTTATGAACTCAGCCGATCTATGTGCATGCTGCTCCACAACCCATCATTTCTCCAAGTTCGAACAGAATTACTTTCTCTGTTGGTGGCACGTTCAGCCAGCGATTGCTAACCCTAAGCCCTAAACCCGTTTGAAGTGGACAAGTCCGAGCAGTCTGCATTTGAAAGACAGGTTGCTGCTAAGAAACTATGTTCATGCGCGCATGGAAGTATGTGAGCCCTATTCTGAGCTCCTTAAACGTGGTGTTATACAGGGGGGGTTGTATTGGGTACTAATATAGGGCTTATTAAGGGGTAGACTATAGCTCACGTGGTCCCAGACGCAAATTCCATGTTGTTTGGGTACGGCCCAGAGTACCTCCAATAGACCTGAGTCATGATATCCGCAAACTTTCCGGCCCCTACAGCAGGTGTCGGAGCTATGCATCTTTTCATCTGTTTTCCTTTCTCCTTTTCTGACTCCTGTGTAGCGGTTTATCTATGTTTTCTCTCTCTCTCTCTCTCTCTCTTTGTTGCCTCCTCTCTCTCTCTCTCGTTTCCTGAATTCTTGTTTTGTTCCTGCCAACCAACTAACCTACCATGAGCATGGCTCAACAACCCGAGTGACCATGTTTGAGTTGTCCCTCGCGGCTGGTTAAAGGAGTAACCTGCATGGTAGGGTTACAAGCCCGGTTAGAAGGAGTTACCAAGCTCCATGAACTTTCAAATAACTTGACCCTAAAGCCTTAACCCTAAACCGCGTGATGTGGGTTTAACACCTCATTTCCTTACAGTCCATGTTCTAGTGTGTCAGGTTTGTAGCCCTCGGGCCTAGGGTTGAACCCTTGGGTCGCTTGGGGACTTTGGGTTTCGGATATAGAGTTTACAGCCCTAAGCCCTAAATCCCAAAAAACAGATGCCCCCAAGGGTTCTCTTTCCCTTAAGTATAGGAGGGGACAGCTGGGATATCAATGGAGGGCAGTAAGGTGCCTTGCATCCTGAACCCTCAATCCTAAACCCTAAGCCCTTACATAAACCCTACACCCTACACCTTACACCCTATACCCTAAATCCTCTACCCTGAACCCTAAACCCGCAACCGTATACTCTCTACCCTAGACCTTATAAACCCTATACCCTGAACACTAATCTCCAATCCCTGAATCCGGGGCTGAGGTTGGACGCGCCTGCGCTCGAGGTTTGCGTGGAAAAGAAGCTTGAGCCCAATTCCCGCAAGCAGTGTAGGATTAATGATTACCTGAACCCCAAAAGTATGTAAAATAATGGCTTTTGGGACTATATTTAAGCGTTTTAGGCTATTATTTTACCTACTTTTGGGGTCCAGGTAGGGTTTAGATTTTAGTGGTTAGGGTTTACGTATAGGGTATTGGATTTAGGGTTTAGACTTTAGGGGTTAGGGTTTATAGGGTCTAGGGTTTATGGGGTTCATAGGGTTTATAGTGTAGAGGGTATAGTTTTTGTAGCGTTTATAGTGTTTAGGGTTTATAGTATCACTGGCTTACTAACACAAGCTCATATAGGGGTTATATAGGGGTCGTAGGGGAGGCTGATCTTGCTGGTTGCTAGTTGGGAATACAAGGAATGGACAAGAACATGGAAACTTGCATATTGTTTGGGATGGCACAAGGAACCCTAAGCCCTAAATAGGGCCTACTGTAGGGCTCAATTCCTCCGTTGCCTACGAACAACCAGTAAGCTACAAAGTCCTAAACCCTAAGCCCTTACGGTTTGTCATGAGTTCCCCTACCTACCCTCAAACTAAACCTCCTCTGGCGTCCCCAATAATTTGTAATACTTCAACTTGATTATCTTAATTCACCCAAACTACGGGGAAACCTCCGGAGGAAAGGGTTTAGGGTTTAGGCCCTGAACCCTAAACCCTAAGGGGGGTGGTATGGGAGCCCCTGAGTTCGGCTGTCGAAAAGTTCAGGGTTTGAGGGATCAGTGGAGGAAATCTTGTTCCCACTTAAACCTTGAACCCTAAACCCTGGATTTAGCGTTTAGGGCTTAGGGTTTAGGGTTTAGCGTGTCGTGATTCCCGAGGTATTTCATACGGAGTTGATCTAAAGGTCCTTTAAGGAAGTTAATGAGGGTCCCTGTAGGTATATAGTGGACATAGCTCATATTCCATAATGTCAATTTCAGAACAGGAATCTGGATCAACTACCTTGTCTCTCTGCTTGGTAAGGTATTCGGGCTTCCAGTGGCTGAGGGACATTTGGACGCTGAGGGCTTCTGGGGGCAAAGACGGACAAACAAATTTACATTGCCAAGATTTGTTTTTCTATAAGCCTTAAACCGTAAAGCCTCAACCCTAAGCCCTGCTTGCCATGTGCGCCTTGTAGTTTTTTAAGCCTGGAATGGCTACAGTTTGGGGCTCAGAAAGCCCGACACAATTTTGAAAAGTAAGCTTTGCGAGGCATCTCGACGCAGATGTGGATTCAATGTCTGATGACTCTTCAACCGCTGATGGAGGTGACTTGTCTGCAGGGCAATGTCTCGGGCCCTCGTTTTACGAACCCTCGTCTGTGAGCGCCCAAAGCGGAGGATTCAACAAAAAAAATCTTAATGTTTCTTGTCTGGGCCTCCCATAGAGTCTACAGTGCTCGTACATCTGCATGTTCCCTTGAGAGCCCAACCAGGCTAGTCAAACAAAATCAAGAGTCCCATTGTTGACTGGCTACTAGACAAAGTTAGGTTCATCTGAGTAGCATTCTATGTGGCTATACTAGAGTCCCCCGTAAAGAGTATATAAGGTTAGTCTTTTGGTTATATACAGTGCTCTACAGGAAGAAATCGAGTGTTGCTTGGTCCAACCACCCGAAGATCATACCAACTCCTATATAGTCCTTCTATTAATTTGCCGAAGTGAACCGCACTTTTTTCCGCTAGTCTTCCTATATCATTGTGTTGGCGGCTTCGCAGAAGGGTCCCGGAAGGTTCACGCAAAAAACAAATACGAATCAATCCATAAGATCAGATGGCTCAGAAGACTGCGAATATGGTGGTTGTAGGGTCTAGAGAGTCTCAAGATTTCGTATGAAAGACGTACGTCAGGTGGCGGAATTGTGGAATGGAAGCACGAGCATTCCCAGCAAGACACATAATGCAGGTCGGTCTTTGAAACTCAAGACGGGAATTTTGCGGAAGGTTCGTGGAAGGCGGAGTGCAATGTTCAAGCCCATGGGCCATGCGAAGCGTTGCAACTGCAAAAGACTGCCAGCAGAAAATGCCAGTATATTATGATATATTGTGGTATTTTATGGTATATTATGTTATTTTATGGTATTTTATGGTATATTATGGTGTATTATGGTATTTTATGTAGCTCGTTGCCTTGATGCCTCAAGAGGACGACGGAAGTTCTGACATCTTCATCCAAAGCCCTAAGGCTCTAAGGACTCATCATATAAGGATTTTGGGCCCAAAGACCATACTATACAAGGCTTTTGGGCTATTTTGAGCCTTAGGGAAAGTATTACATGAGTAACAGATACTTCGCGGAAGCGAAAAGGTTCGCGGAAGGTCCGTTCAAAAATTGAGGACGTTTCTGGGCTGCGACAGGCCGCGGGAGGGTGTCGCGGAAGGGTTTCGCGGAATGATTTTTTGCATTATAAGAACTAAAGTAAAAAGTAAAAAAAAGAGAGAAAAAAAAGCTGAAATAGAGAGCCCCTTTGAACAGGACCCTGTAATCTTACTAGGCTCAACCACCCAAAGCGCAAACCGTGGGCACTGAGCATTTCACCCCTTGAGGAAGCGATGGCACCGATGGAGACCGACTGTCCGACGACTCTCGACTGTCCGACGACTCTCGGGACGAGGCCCGTTTAGGGATTAAGGGCTGAAGGTTTCGATCTGTGTTTGATACGAGCTTTTTAAGTGTAACTACGTTGAGTCCCAACGAGGAATCTTAAGCCAAACAAGGGATGTAAAGTTGATCTTCTGAAATGAAATAGGTATAGCCGTACTGTTGATACGAAAATCCTGCCTGACCCTCGCAGGCTGGCCTCCCACAGTGTCCAACCCTAAGGGTCCATGTATCCCATAATTGGGTACTTAGGGTTTAGGTAATAGTAATTATAGTACAGGTTTTGGGTAAGTATATGATTATTGAATACTTGGACCCTTAGGGCAACCTGGAAGGTACTCAGGGTCACGCGGAATTTGAGTACGCATGTTAGTTTGACACACTCAAGGCAGACGTGTCTCGCAAGTGAACCAACCCTAAACCTTCATAAGCACCTAAACCCTAGATCCCCTAAACCCCTAAACCCTAAATCCTCAAACCCTAAACACCTAGACCTTAAATCCTTCAACCCTAAATCCCAAATCCTTAAGCCCTAAACACTTAAACCCCTAGTCCTTAAACCCGAGCTGTGACGTTTGAGCTTCACATCTGCTTTCTATGTGAGCTATAGTCTAAACTGCTTAACGGGGGTTATATAGGGTTTAGGGTTTAGGGTTTCGGCCTACTATACCGCTAGGTGTTTAGACTGTAGCTCATGTGTAAATCTGTGGGTACGACTGGATGTCGGGCTTTACGGTGACGACCTTTATTCATTGTCGGTTTAGGGTTTAGGGTTTAAACAGGTTTGGTTCAGGGTTTAAGGAATTACCTGGACCCCAAAAGTAGGTAAAATCATAGCCTAAAACACTTAAATATAGTCCCAAAGGCCATGATTTTACATACTTTTGGGGTTCAGGTAGGGTTTAAGGGTGTAGGGTTGGGTTTAATATTCTTTCCCACAGCCCAGCCATGAACAAACTCGAAGAGAGCAGGCTGACGATCAAGGGAATCAGATCAGCTACACTCCCCCAAACTAACATGGAATCCCATATAGCCCCTTTTAGAGGGACTGCAGTCTTCATAGGGCCCTTTTTGGGTTTCCATGTTAGTTTCCGGGAGTGTAGTATGCAGAGAGTATGATAACATGGTTTTGCATTATTATGCTATGTTCTTTGTGGAGTTCAGGGTTTAGGAATTTGGGTTTTCATGACATATCCTGTGAGCCCCCGCGCAGATGCTGGCCATGTTAGATAGGGTGCAGGACCTGTTGATACCACAAAGGCATGCATGACCCTAAGTACGTCATACCTTGGGAATTGCCGTGCTCTGAACCCTAAGCCCTAAGCCCTAAACCTCCAGTATGCCAAAGTCAGGAAGGATGTCTCGCATCAGCCGTAGTACGGCGACATGTTTCCTGGGATCTGTCCGCAACTCTGAAACACAACTGGGGGTTTTCCGAAAATCAGGGATCCCTACTTTGAGGGCTGCCCATAACCAGGATTGTGGTATTTGCCATCTTGGTCTCCTCATAATTATGAAAACTGCCAGCTACTTTTTTTCTTGTCACAGCATCTTTAAGTACCGCATGGCACACCAAGAGCCCTGAACCCTGAACCCTAGGCAATGATATTTCAGGTTGGAAAGCACTTTCAGGGAGATCGGGTTTCTACATTTACTGGGTCTAGCGTTTATGTCCAAAATTAAGTGAAATTCGGGCCGCCCGTACAAATCCGGCTAACAAAAGCTTACTTATTCAGGGTTTCCAGAATGGGATCACTGGATTTGGCAGAGTCCCACAGTATTAGGAGAGTCATAACCCTAAACCCTAAACTTGACCACCCGTCTAAGCCACAGAAAATTTCAGTTTTACCGTGACTACCTACGGAACTACTATGTCTCCCTGACCCTCCAAGTAAACCCTAAGTCTTAAGACAAAACCCTATGAAGCTCTTGTATAAACACAGCTTCCATGTTGCTTTTCATGTTCTTTTCCGTTTGACGGTCAATTACCCTAAACACCATGAGACCTGAATCCCCAAACCCGAATCCCCGAACCCTCAACAGTACGCTTATCTTTCACTGGAGCCTGATTGCGAGGTTGCAAAATGAAGTTATTTTTTAAAAGTTAAAGTTTAGGGTTTGCAAAAGGTTTGCAGTCACTACGCTTCGAGTTTTTGTGGTTGATTTTGCTGCTTTGATGGCAGGAGTGGGCCGCAAAATGCATGGAAGCTTTCCAGGACATGGAGGACCTGCTCCATGCATGATGTAGCTTGCAAAAATATTGGGGAAGCCCCGGAAATTTCGCAAAGCAGGTTAGCCAATGAGGAAGCCCTGTCATTTACTATCGGCCCATACAGTAACTTATTTTAAGTTCCTTAAACCCTATATTTCCTCAGTTTCCATTTCCATGTTCTTTTCCATTTGATTCTCCATTATAGGGGATCATATCCCTGAACCCTTAACCCCAGATTTGCTTCTGCATTTGCTTCTACAGGAAGATGTTGAGGCTCCCGAGATCGACAGCATGGAGCCCTCGCCGATGTCCCAAGAAGAGGCAATTTCCAGGTTGTCAGGGTTTAGGGTTTCGAGTTTA